TACATAACTATGTTACGTCAGGGGTGGTATGCTAATAGTATGCTTTGCTTTCAAGTGGTACGTTAGGGGTAGTATGCTTTGCTTTCAAGTGGTACGTTAGGGGTGTCTTGCCAAGTGGTACATAACCATGTTTGAAATGGGGGGGCAGGCTTACGTTAGGGGTGTCTTGCCAAGTGGTACATAACCATGTTTGAAATGGGGGGGACAGGCTTACGTTAGGGGTGTCTTGCCAAGTGGTACATAACCATGTTTGAAATGGTGGGGACTAAGGCTTACGTTAGGGGTGTCTTGCTTTGGTTTCAAATGGTACATAACCATCTTACGTCAGGGGTGGTATGCTTATAGTATGCTTTGCTTTCAAGTGGTACGTTAGGGGTAGTATGCTTTGCTTTCAAGTGGTACATAACCATGTTTGAAATAGGGGGGACAGGCTTACGTTAGGGGTGGCTTGCTTTGGTTGATAGGGGGCACACGGACACGGACTTCCATGTGTGACATGCTAGTTGTTTCTATTCAAGGTTACCTTTTTTAAACGATTTTTTGACACGGAATTTGCAAGGTATGATAAAGGCCCCTACGTAAGGCCCCTGTCGTGCATTCAAAACGTCCCTTTTGAAGGCAGCATAGCAGACCTATTTACCTCAATTTAAGGTACCTTTTTTTTGAAAAGATTTTTGACACAAAAATGATGCCATAGTATAACCGCCCTTTGGTGAAACACACCGGCATGTCTTGTAAGGATATAGCGTAAGTTCTTACCGCATCTTTAAGGCATTGTTTCTCCTCCTCTAGCTTTCTTCTCTCCTCCGCAGCTTCCTTCAGTGCCTGCAGACGTAGTTTGGCTCGCAACTTTTTCTTGGAAAAGAGTTTTTCAAACAGCACCGGAGGTTTCTGTGGCTGTAGAGATGGTAGAATTTGGTTGTACATTTGCAGTACAGGAGTGTGTCAGGGCTAGTGCATTCAGTTTGTACAGTTTGATTTTTCTTTTCTCCCTTTTCAATAATAGATAGAAATCATTCAATGTCATTGAGAGCTTTAATTTGCATTGTCACGTTTATACATGACTAGTTAACCTGTGTTTTATCTACTTACATACATTACAATGCACATCTTTTTTATAAACTACTTAAGTCAAGTCTGTTTATACATGTGTGCGTGTCCTTAAGTTATAACATAGCTCAAGCTAGGGACAATGAAGAAAATGGTCAAGTTGCTGCTTAGAATATGGACAGGATTCTAATTGGTCAATGGGGGGAAATTACCTAAGGGATCACAGAAAAAGGGGCCAAAATGGCCTTGTGCAGAGATAGTCACTGGTACAAGTTTGACTATAATTTCCATACTTAAAACATTATGTTAAACACACCAAATACAACTTTTAATACCTTAGGTCTCCCTGGGTAGGATGGTAGAAAAGACATTTTGTTGTCCTGTCTTGGCCCAGATCAAGTTAGCACTGCAACTTGGTGTTAAATGGTTAAACGGGTTAGTTTAGATGGGTTACAAAAACAAAGGTTAAAGGTTAATGAAATTGGATGGACCACAATCAGTTAATGCATCACCATGTTATTGTAATCAGTTTAATGTCAAACAAAGTAACAACAGAAGAAAGAGTTCAGGTCATATGTAACATCACTGCAAATTGTGTTAAGTTCGTGAGGAGGTTATTTCATGGTACATGTATCGACAGTCATTGTGAGGTAGGGAGGCATTTGTCATGACTGTTAATTCCCATGGTTAAACAATACAGCTGTGACAGAGTATATTTAAGACTGGGCTATGCAAATTATGAGGCGGCTTAACCGCCGTGCATATTCTGTGTTTTACTTTGTGACCATGATAACCTACCTTTGGCTTTGGTTTGGGTTTATATTGTTCCAGTACAGAAGGAAATGTGCTCTGTCTCAGTCTGGACGGGGTATCCTTGTCAGCTGGTCTGGGCTTGGGTTGAACTTCTGGCTCTGGTTCCTATGTGAACAATTTTAACAAAAATTGCAATAACAAAATACATGATGATCATAATAAATAAGCACAAAGTGGGTTGTTCTATAAACTAGTGGGCTACCAGTGGGACAGACTTTTAAGGATGTAACAACCTCAAATATGTGTTACAACTATGTTGCAAAACTTCATACAGCTACAGTACCACCATATCATGTTACACCTGCCCCCCCATACTTCACCAAACGCATAATTCTACAGCTTATAAAGGCAGAAAATACAGTGTTTTCAAAACTTGTACCTCTTGAGCTTCGTTAGCTTCTTCTTGTGCAACGGCGACTTCCAAAACGGCTGCTAAAAATCGTTTTTTCCCTGTCAGACCCTTGAAAGCCATGATCCTACTGTTGTCCCGCCGCCATCTTGTTGCCAACGTAAACAACTTTCCGTGCTACCCTGTGAACGAGAGTGATCACGTGAGGTATGTTGAGAACTCTCGTGCACAGGGTAGCATGGATTTTGAGCAACAGGTGGTTTTGTCCTAATCTATGGTACAACTTACAACATCTCGCATTAGAATTGTAGACGGCATTCATAAAATGAACTTATGATTTGGTCAAACGCTAGACGAACAATCTAAATAAAATAAGATAAAAGAAAATATATAGAAATTGTGAGTTTTGTCGTGTCAATTGTGGATCCGTAACTTTCCAAAATTGAAACGGCCAGCAAAGAGTTGTCTAAGACAAGACTGAATTAGATCTAACCGGTTTCCAAGAAGTGGACTAGCCTACTCACCACCGGGGGTGTCGGGTTATACCATCCCCATAGGGGGAACTACATGGGTAGTGTTACATGCACTGTATATTTTGTATGTCAACAACTCCTCTCCGAAGGCTAGTGTGCCCAGGCCAGAGTGTGCCTACTTACTCACGGAGTCCCACGGCAACTTGAAAGGGACCAAAGCATAGGCCACAGGACGTGAAAAACAAGTCCATTGATTGGCTTTCAGCAACCCAATTATAGCTGAAAGAGTGTCACTCATGCTGAGGTAACATGACGGACGATGGTACCGAGTACCTAAAGGACACGCTCCTCCGCAGCGTCCGCTAGCGCGCTATAATTAAAGCCACATCTGGGCGCGCGGCGGGGTCCCCAGAGCAACACAGTGCGGAAGCCAAGGAGGATTATGATACTATCCCATCATCCTTTGCAATACACATTCCACAACACGTGTCCCAGATGGCTGACTGTCAGCACCAGGTATATAGTCTTGTCATGTTTCCTTTAAAAGTGCAGCAATGGCAACAATTTGACCAGTAATTTTTGGTTCTTTGAATTATCAAAGGACTCAAGTAGTGTATGAGGCTATCTGACTTTTGTAACTTATGTACAACTTCTTACATTGTGTCATAAACATTTATGCAAACATTTGCTTCAAAAATGGTGCTCAAACTTCACCAAACTAAAGTGCTTTTCTACAAACTCTGTTGATTGGTGATATTATACATCTTGTGCATCAGAAAACCCCAAATGCACCAAAAAGCACCCATGGAAAACAGAAGAAAATATTATATTTGATATGATTTATGCAATAATCATCAACAAATGCAATTTTCTTCTGTTTTCCATGGGTGCTTTTTGGTGCATTGGGGGTTTTCTGATGCACAAGATGTAT